ACCACGAGATACATGTGAACAATAAAAGAATCAAAGGTAAATAAATAAATACAAATATCTACACTATACATAAACATAAAAAAAGTTTTTCAAGTTTATCTTTAATAAAAAGAAAACATCTAAAACTAATCTGCCCTCACTTATTATTATAATTTTTTTGAATCCATTAACATATATTTCAGATATATTGGACTGTGGCATAAGAGGAGTGTAAAAGAGGATCTTCAGGAGGGGTAGAAGATAAGTCATTAATAATAATAAGTAGAGGGATTGATTTAGTAAAGTTTACTTGTGCTACACTGATCGTTTTTGAGGATGTAAGTGTTTAATGGGTTTGAGGTGTGCAGGTGGAACAGGGCGTTTGTGCTGCAGGATGATTCATGAACAGGATTTATGAAGCCATATCTTCAGTGTTTATGATGTATGATATGAGGCATGACACGACTAACCAATCACCAGCATCACATGTGACACAACATACCAAACCCTCTCGCTCCAAGCCAGATCACTCTTATCTGTGATTTATTTCAGCATCTCTGTGCTCTAGATCTGCAGATTACGTCTGGCTTCGGGTCACTGATATCCACTGCAGACGTATGCTGTGTTTTTCCACTCACATGCTGAGAAGATCCTGCAGACGGGCGTCAGCGGCGAAGTGTGCGGAGGACGAGACACTGACGACACTCGAGCATGAGCCATCCTTCCCAGAATGCACCAAGCTGTCCAGAAGAAGGCGGGTCAGCAGAAAGTGGCCTAGATAGTTAGTGGCAAAATGAGTCTCAAGCCCGTCTTCAGTTCGACCTTCAGGAACCAGCATAACAGCTGCTGACATGAAACACAGAGCACAGGTTCACAGAATGATTACTAGTTCAACATCTACTAGTCCAACATCTATAGTACTAGTTCAACATCGATAGGACTAGTCCAACATCGACTAGTCAAGCTTCTACAATACTAGTCCAACATCTACAGTACTAGTCCAACATCTATAGTACTAGTTCAACATCGATAGGACTAGTTCAACATCGACTAGTCAAGCTTCTACAATACTAGTCCAACATCTACAGTACTAGTCCAACATCTACAGTATTAGTCCAACTTCTACTAGTCCAACATCTATAGTACTAGTTCAACATCTATAGTACTAGTCCAACATCTACTAGTCCAACACCTACAGTATTAGTCCAACATCTACTAGTCCAACTTCAACAGTACTAGTCCAACATCTATAGGACTAGTTCAACATCTATAGGACTAGTCCAACTGCTACAGTACTAGTCCAACATCAACTAGTTCAACATCTACAGTACTAGTCCAACATCTATTAGTCCAACTTCTACAGTACTAGTCCAACATCTACTACTCCAGCATCTACTTGTTCAGCATCAACAGTACTAGTCCAACATCTACTAGTCCAACATCTATAGTACTAGTCCAACATCCACTAGTCCAACTTCTACAGTACTAGTCCAACATCTACAGTATTACGTCCAACATCTACTAGTTCAACATATACAATACTAGTCCAACATCTACTAGTCCAACTTCTACAGTACTAGTCCAACATCTACAATACTAGTCCAACTTCTACTAGTCCAACATCTATAGGACTAGTCCAACATCTACTAGTCCAACTTCTACAGTACTAGTCCAACATCTACTAGTTCAACGTCTACTAGTTCAACATCTACAATACTAGTCCAACTTCTACTAGTTCAACATCTACAGTATTAGTTCAACATCTGTAGGACTAGTCCAACATCTACTAGTCCAACTTCTACAATAATAGTCCAACTTCTACAGTACTAGTCCAACATCTATATTACTAGTTCAACATCTATAGGACTAGTCCAACATCTACTAGTCCAACGTCTACAGTACTAGTCCAACATCTACAGTACTAGTCCAACATCTACAGTATTAAGTCCAACATCTACTAGTCCAACATCTACAATACTAGTCCAACTTCTACAGTACTAGTCCAACATCTATATTACTAGTTCAACATCTATAGGACTAGTCCAACATCTACTAGTCCAACGTCTACAGTACTAGTCCAACATCTACAGTATTAAGTCTAACATCTTCTAGTTCAACATCTACAATACTAGTCCAACATCTACTAGTCCAACATCTACAAGTCCAACATCTACAGTACTAGTCCAACATCTACAGTATTAAGTCTAACATCTACTAGTTCAACATCTACAATACTAGTCCAACATCTACTAGTCCAACATCTACAAGTCCAACATCTACAGTACTAGTCCAACATCTACATTATTAAGTCCAACATCTACTAGTTCAACTTCTACAGTACTAGTCCAACATCTACAATACTAGTCCAACTTCTACTAGTCCAACTTCTACAGGACTAGTCCAACATCTACTAGTCCAACATCTACAATACTAGTCCAACGTCTACAGTACTAATCCAACATCTACTAGTCTAATAGGTACTAGTCCAAGTACCCGTTTTATTTAAGTATTTTAGGAAGACAGCATTTAATCAGACAAGCAAACAAGTTTTGTCAATTTCATTCTCAACGCTTTATTTTTTTTTCTTTCGGAAAAACTTTGATTTGACATCAGCACGAGCCATTCAAGCATAATCAGCAATGCAATTATTTTATTAAATTGTATTTAAGCCACATACTATATAAGGTGCTATATAAATACTCAATATTTAATATATTATTATTATTATTATTATTAATAATAAATACATTAAATATATTGTTGCTATTTTTATTATTATTATACTTATATTTATATGTTTCTATTATTAATGAATATTTATGTAAAACATATTTTTTATAATCAGAATCAGAATCAGAATGAGAATTAGCTTTATTCACCAGGTGTGCAAACACACGAGGAATTTGTTGTGGTTTTTTAAGGTGCTCCTGGTACATACATACATGCATACATACATACATACACATCTGACATGAGAACAGAAAAAAACAAAACAAAAAAACATTTAAATAGTAAAACTTAACAATAAATGTGTATGAATCTGGAACAGTAGATTTATGTACAGATTTGTGCATCATTTACTCTATATAGAACTGTATAAATAAAGAGATATGCATATGTATTTACATAATACTTGAGAAAGAGGCAATAATTAAGGATGTAGAATGAATTACGGAAATTAATTACAGAACGCAGGTAATGATTCATATGTTAGAATGTTAGATGTTAGATGTTCATATTCATATAATTGAATATTTACATAAAACATATATTCATATAAAACACTTTATGCATATAGAACATTGTTATTGTTCCTATTATTAAATAATTATATTATTAGTGTCATTGTTATGATTATTATTATTCACGATTATAATCTGAGCAAACGAGCGGCTGATGGAGTTCAGCACATTGACCCCATTACAGCACGTTTCTCATCATCAATCACTCTCAATAAGCTCACAGAGGTGTTCAGAATCACGAACATCAGTGATCCTCACAATCAATCGCCGCACTGTTCAGACGCTCTGAGCACATGTAATCGGGATTAAACTGATATAAATAGTGTTTTAATCAGAAATGGGTCTAGTAATGATCGTCTGACGTCATTCTGACTGCCTGAGGTGACAAGGACCAAAATAACAGCAAACTACTGCACCGTGACCCAAAACCGCCTCTGGTCTAATCTGATAGCAGGACAAACAATAAGAAGCAGAGAATCACGGCCAGTAAAGAAGACACTTCCCATAGCTTCTGTTTTCAGACTCAAATTCAATGATAGACGCTTGTTTAATCATTTTGAGTAAATGTTCATGAGACAATCACATTTCTGCTGTCGTTCAGTCATGCACGCTATTCTTAATTGTCCTATTATGTCATGTTAATAATTTTATGTATTATTGGGTCTGTACAATTCATTATTTACATCTATGCACTTTTATCCAAAATGACTTTCAAAGACGTTGCATTCAAAGTAGGGCTGCATAAATTGGGGGGAAAAAAGAAATTGTGACTTTTCAGATAAAAATGTTGTTTATGGTTGAAAATGTGATTTAGAAAAATCCAGGTTTGCTGAGTTGGGCTGCGCAATTTGGCTAAATCATATATTGATACGGCTATAAAACAACAATAATAATTACAAAAATAATAAAATGTACAAAATAAAAATAAAATAAGAACTATTACTTCTGCAGTGTTTCACAGTAAAATAGAAAAGTGTTAAAAACAAGACCTGTAAACAAAACCTACAAAATTGCAATACTGTTATTTATGGCTATCTTAATTTAAGTTGTTTATAGGTCTGCACAATTTGGATATATATTTTGTGATAATGTTTATCAATATGGCTTCAAAATAATAATAATAATAATTATTATTATTATTATTAATGCATTATTTAATCACATAAAATTACTCAATAAAAATGAAGAACTGTTACTACTGTAATATTTCACTCTAAACTAAAAATAAAGTGAATAATTAATAAATATTATAATTAATAATAATAATATAAAAATGACCACTGTAATATTTCACTGCAAAATAATATAATTTTATATTAATATAATATTATATTGTTATTTTACATAAAACTGTAAAATTACAATACTAGTATTAATGGCTGTGTTAATTTTTTGTTTTGCTTTATGTTTTGTTTTGTTCCCAAATGCATATTAATGTGATGCAAACCCAGAACAGATTTATTGTGAACTGAGACGCTAAAAGCAGCGGCGCATCACGAGCTGCTCTCATGTAAAATGAACACAATACAGAAATACAGCAACGAAGAAGATCACAATAAAACACAGTTTAACACACAGACCCTAAGCCTAAATTACAGTTACTGCTTCCAATGAGAGCATGAGAACCATCATCATCATCATCATCATCCCTGCTTTAATTCAGGATTAATTGAAGAATCCTCCAGCAGATCTCGACAGCTCCACTCCTGATGAACAAATACAGTGGTAATATGACTTCACTTAATTATCAGTAAGACACTTAATATACAGACATTGTCACTTGCACACAGCAATTTCTGTAATATTTTATTTATTACTTTTTTTACCTCTATTGCTGCTATGGAACTACCCATGTACAACCTGTTTGCACATTCTTCTATTGTACATTCCTGGTCATCTAAATATTTATTAAGCCTACAGTATATTGTCCTGTGCATTTTATTTTATTCTTATTTTTTATCTTACTTTTTCCATACCTATAAATATATATAATTTTCTTGTGTTTGTATTCTTTAATAATTGCACTGTCCATGGAGCGGACCTGACTTACATTTCACTGCTGGTCATATATTCCCTATATAACCATGTATGTGACAAATAAAAATCTTGAATCTTGAAT